ACTAATAAATAAATATACTAAATATACTAAATAACTATACTAATAAAATAAATACAAATAAGAATAAAATAAAATAATAAGAAATTATGAAAGTGGAGGAAACCCATGGTAACATCGTTCTATTATTATTTCTGAACAAATGAATGACCAATCAAGATTTCAGAATTCATCTTTTGGCTCACAGAGTAATCAATCAATTATTTCAGAGATAAAACTAAAAATTCCCTATAATCAGAAAGTAGAACGGGAATTAAGACGTGAAATATTTGTTTACGACCAAGACAATAGCAATAAAATTAATACACCTTATATACAGATCAGACAAAGTTTGTGTATTCCGAATATTGTATCTGATAATACATTTGACGTACAAATTCCTGATTTTTCTCTAGAGACGATTTTAACAGGATCTAATAAAGTCACGGCTCAAAATATAGTTGACCTATTTAATATAGCAATGAAAATTAGACGAAAAGAGATTTTATACTGATATTGTTACTATAAAGCACATGAGGATAGAATTAGGAATATTAGGTCTATAAATAAAATTAACGACAAATCTGCGAGGATGTTGGTATATAATGAAATTAAATCACTTCTACCTAATATTACTGATGTCAATTTACGTAAAATAATTTCCAGAGCTAAAAAAATCTATATACTAGTTGAAGGAATAGGGATGGATAGGATCAGACAAGTAACTTATAGCGCAAGTGCTATTTCAAGTTTAAAAGATATTCAAATTCAAAATATTATAAATGATTTCCTCAAAAAGCCAACTGATATAAATATGATTTGCGTGACAAATTGTCACGGAAATGTGATCGAACCTAGCTCAGATAATATCACAAATCGTAAGGATCAGACTAATACAGAGGTAAGCATGCTTCTCACGTCTCAATCTGAAAAGGCTTTATTGGAAACTGAGGCAAGTATATTACCTGAAAATGTTTCACCGGAAAATCAGATAAGTTCATTATCTGTACCTCAACCTCAAAAGACCCCAGCTTACATCCATGCTTATTTTCATAACAAATTATTGGAGCAGTATCCCAATTTATATAAAGAATATAGTGATGGAAATGATGATTATTATGGTATTAATGCTGAATCATTATGCCCTTTATGTAAGTTAGAGCATGAGAACGAAGAAGGTATAGAAGGTGAATATAAAGATGGATCTTACTATATTAAATGTGAAGTATCTGAAATCGGTATTGACATACCAGCTCATGCCGAAATAAATGTATAACTACTATGTGACTGTCTTCAGCAATTTTATCTGTTTAACGCTTTCTTATTACTATACTGAAATAGTATATTTAATACACGAAAGATATTTTTTTGGCTGTGCCTGCTTCACTAATACGTAAGTGATACCCGATATGAGAAATTAAATTGTTTTGAAATTATATAAATGACAAAATGGATATGCAAGCCAGGTCTGATAAAGTATTAACCCCCAAATATCTGAATTGGTATTCCAAATTAACTGATCTGCCAACCACTGTATCTGATAAACTTTGTTCCAAGTTATGTAATAGGTATAAGAAAAAAACTGGACTCGATCCTTGGATAAACTCTGAAACTTCTGAATTCTCACAAATCGAAAAGACCGATAATTACTTTTCACAGGATCGTGTTATCAAGATTTCTAAATTTCCGGAAGAGAAAGATATAATTATTGAAATAGTACAGAAGCGATTTCCTTTCCTGTCTTATACTAATTCGAATGCATGGTACCGAGATGTTTTTAAATATACTGATTCAGAAGCTAAATGTCCAATATGCAAAGAGGTACATACACGATATTGTATATGGGGTGATTGGAACTGTCTAGGTAAAGATGATCATTATTATCTCAATTGTTCATTTCGTATCGATCAAAAGAAAGTTATAATCGCCATACAGAGCTTACCGGAAATTCAAGTAAGTGTACCTAACAAAACCTGCCTTTATCAGCTAGAGGCTAGCTTACGCCAATATGCCATTGAACATGGAATGGATCCCGAGAAATTTTCAGTAATTACAGAGGCTGAGAAAAAAATGACCATTTAGGTCTGATTGCTTTATTAATACAATATAACAGAGCTAGTGTCTCTGTCAGGCACGTGAGTGCCCTTATTCCATAAGTAAAAATACAGATAAAAAAATCTATCATTTGTTATTATTTTGAATATGACGTTTTTAATTTCATGTTCATCACACATTGTAATCCTATCCCTTAATAACCCCACAATTATACTAATTACTACTTTAACACCCTTCCTAATTGATTCAAGATCTTCCTTCAATGCTGTTTTGAATAAATTAATCCGATATTCGCTTTTGCTGATACAATATAGCCCTTCCGTAGCGAGTTTAATAAAATGCCATTCTGTAGCTAGAAAAAATAATAATCAATCGAAGATAGGGTAACGCCAGAAAATAATGAGAGATTAACTTTACCATACCTGTAGAAACTATTCCGTAGAGATAATCATCATCATTTTGAAAAGCCTGATCCGCGGTTCGTTTCCTTTTATTCATGTGACTAGCGCTCTCCAGTTGTTTTATATTTTGGAGATACCCAATTTCAACATTGCGTGGTTTTCCCTCAGCTATACATATAAGATCCTCATAGCCTTTGATTGAATAATCAACACGTCCAGAGCTATCTTCGCCGAATACATCATCTTGATATGCAATATATATTTTTTCATTGTTGGTGAGTTTTCGAGTAATTGCAATTGATGCGTTTAGAATAGATGTAATAAAAACACAACGGATTGCTTCATTGGTACTGTCTTGTATGGTCTCCAAATTCGAAAGTCTTAATATAATTTCCTTCATACAGCGTTTGAGAGCTTTATCATCGTCACCAATTTCCTCGTAAACTGTAGGGGTGGAACCCCATTGCCACGCAATAAAAAATATGTATCGTTAGTCAACTGCCTTCAGTAGTACAAGTATTCTCTTGCAAAAAAGAAATATATATATCTGGATTAAATTACTTTATACACGTAATTTTTTTACCATTGACTTTATATTTACGGAGTAATGTTTTCAGTTTATCTAATGAATTATATGACGAGAAAGCCTGTAATTTTGTTTTATTAAGCTCTTCGATAAAATCAGCAAGAATAGTTGCAGGTCCCAAAGCAAAGCCAATACTTCTAAATTTTTCTTCTGTTAACTTGAGAAAGGCACGACCAGCTATTTCTTGTTTACGAAGAATTGCAAAATGTGATTCTTTAAGTTTTAAATTATTCCTATCCAAATAGTCGATAAGCTCCTCAGTATCATAATCTTTAATAACGTCACCCATGGTACGAGTTATTTTTTCTTCGTCGGAGTATATGCTTGAAGGTGAGGAAGGTGAAGAAGCGTGAGAAGACATATTTTTTTTATATTGATATACGGCATAAAAAAATCTGGTTTATGCGCTACGTTTATGAAGTGAGATAATGCGAGTAAAGAAAATGAAAAAAAAATTTTGTCTCTGGTTTTAGCTAATCAGTGGCTATTTATAGTATATGATTATGCAGGTTATAAAGCTGGGAGACACACGATGATCTCGGAGATTGCGGAGATTTCGATTTCCAAAAACATATGCCCTTTGATATGCACACTAAAAAGATTATTGAGCTATCCTTCCTTATCGCCTTGTTTGTAATGGTTCTTATCGTGAAGCATGAGTTATATAGATGTTTTCCCTGACTAAATAAAGTGGAAAAAAATACGTATAACGATTATCTATGCTACACAAGAATATTTCACGAGACTGTGTCATTTCTCTGAAATACATCTATATAGAAATTGGGTCGCACAAAAATGTGACTAAATTTTGTGTAATATATTTGCATTTTGATAAAATCGATCTTTGACATGTTTCATAAATAATCCATTGGGTCAATAAAGCCATTTAATTACTGTATGCTGGATTATTTTAGCGGAATTAATTTGTTTTTTCCATAAACGATATGTTTGCTAGATAATTAATGATGCATGATTTTTTTTATACAATGCTAGTTGAACTTTAAAATCCCTATATTCAGGGTTATTACCTATTTGTTTATGGCTGGTTAAATTATTTTTGATACGAAATACAAAATTTTCCCAGTAATTTCTACTATTTATTTCATATCCTAGTTTTAATAAATGATTGCGTATATATTTTGGTGAATAATATTTTGCAAACCGTAACTATGCTTCTGACATTTTAATAATGTTAACAATATAATTTTCACCATATTCACTTAACTTATCTCTTACTCTGCTATAACTCATATTGTGTATTTGCTATCTCAAACGTGTGGATTTTATTAACTTAGACTTTTTATTTAATAAATAATCAATGGAGCTAACCAAAAAAAATATATATATGGCAGATAGGTAGGTCAACTCACTTTCCTTACATTTGATAAATAAAAAATCTCGGAATGAAATTAATAAGTCAATTTTGTTCGATCAATGCTGGTATATCATCCCATCCTTCTATTTCAGTTAAATCCCAATCTTCTATATTATCTCAGGGGATTTCGTTATTTTTTATTTGTTCTATATTAAATTTAACGATCTCCTTTTCTGATTTACTTATCATTCCATTAACAAGTATATACTTTTCAATCTCTACCTGTTTTTTAGCACTCTCAAGTAACTTTTCTTGATATTTAAGCCCCAAACCACATACCATATATCCTTGAAGTTCTTCATCATCCGAATATTGATTTAATACTTTATTTATTCTTTCATCTTTTTCAAGTTCTAATTTATAGCCTTTTAACACTTGTATCTCCTATCTTTTTTAGAGTTTGTGCTGAATTTCTTTGTACCAAGTGCGATTTATCCTACAGAATTTGTTGAGATCTTCCAATGAAAGTTTTTGAATGATTTCACCAATAGTATTAGTCAATCGCTTTTTGTTACTTTCCATTTTTGAATGATATGTATTATATAGTCAAAAAATCTTTATCTTTGTTTAATCAATCAAACCAGTCAAAAAAATTAAATATGGTAGATGGGTAGGCTGACTTGTTTTTCCTACATTAGGTTAATATAATTCGTTGAGTCAATATATTGAATATTTATTATTCATGAAAAAAATCTTAATAATTGATCTAGTTCACTTGGTGAAATAACTAGGTTCATCTGATTACTGGTATTGTGATTTAAGTTTGAGCATCATTGCTCTTTTTTCAGCTTCTTCAGGAGATATTCTGGATGAAACCATATGCTTATATGCAAAAATTCGTCAATGCCCGTATGGAAGGGTTCGTATATTATCTAATAGAATCTAACGCTTATTATCATATGGATTTAATCCAATTTTATTTACTCGTTCCAAATATATTTCGTGATCATAACTACGGAGACTATACATATCATGTCGGGTTAGCTTCTTAGTTCTGAGACATTCTAAAAATTTATCATGCCAAAGCTCTCTCTTAACTACACATTTCTTAACGCCTTTAGCCTTTTGCATTCCATACTTTTTCTGCCAGTCTTTCATACCTTGAGATTTTCTAGATTCTTCTTCCTCTAACTCTTTTTCAAAATCTGCATTTGTTTCAGGAGTTTTTGGATCATACCCAGCTGAAAGGACTGAATACATTTTCAGTTTTAAACATACTGACTCACCTATTGGATCCCCCTTTGTTTCATCCTTCATTAAGAATAAATCTCCTAAATAGTCGAGATCAAAAATATCTGGTCTTTTAGCTTGATTTTTATAAATATCCTCTGTCTCGATCCACATAATAAGAGAATCTGTATCTGTATAAAGTAAATGGGCCTTGTCTCCAT